CTGACAGCCAGCCCAGTCTGGCCTTACATTGCATGAGCAGGAAACGCAACTGTCCGCATCATCTGTCCAGTTCTCTCCATCGGACACACGTCGCCCCTCACCTTCGATCACGCACTCTGCCGAGGGAAGGATTGAGAGAGAGAAAGAACTTAGAGGCTCCCGAGATCCGCTCGGAATGTGGCATCCAAGTTTTTATTTTCTAAGGCGTGAGGCGGATCGGGTGTGCTTCAGACCTGGCACGGGCAAGAGGCTCGTGCACTGGATGTGGAGCTGACCCATTTCAGGGTCACAGTAAAAAGGCGCCTGCCATTCTACCCCCCCAAGGAAGATCGGTTCTCAAAACGGGAAAGGAGGACCTCAAACAGCGAACCGGTATCCTTTCAAGATGGCAGACCTTTCCAAGATCTTCTGATGTTTTGGTTTTGTTAGTCCCGGCACGGGATGGGCAGAGAGCCTGGCCACTAATATGCCTTGGGGAAATTCACAGTGGCTCTGGATGCGACACACGATGTGAGCCCTACTGTGGTTTAAAAAACGGCATCCGTCTGCGAAGTAGGTATCCATTTGCTTCTGTCGCTGCTCAACCACTGCTGGGAGGCTTCCTTGCTACTGATAGGGCCCGGGTCCCTGTAGACTCGACATGAGGTGACAAAGGAACGCTTCGAGGTGTCCCCCGGATAAGCACAGCGTTGTTACCCGGCCAGCCTTGGGAGGCTTCCTGGCTACCTAAGCCCTGGCTAGCTGTTGAGGACAGTCTTGTTCAGGGAGGGAGGGCAGCTCCAGGGTCTCCCCTTTGGGCACAGAGTGAGCCCAACCCTGACACTGTCAGCAATCGGGACACCTCCCAGCACTGGTCTTGTGGCACGAACGACATCTCCTGCCATCATGCAAGAAATCCCATTGAAACAGGATGCGGTGTTGCCAGCCGCTTGTGCCTGTTTACAGTCTACCCAAAACAAAACGCTGTATGGTCAGTTATTGCAAAAACGTCATTCCTGCTCCAGTCTGGTGCAGGGGATAGTATCTGGCTAGGACTCAGGCGTGCCGGGTTCAAATCATGGAAGCTTCTCAGAAGGTGGCCTAAGTCAACCACTTCTTGGAAACCCCAGTTATCTCAGAAAACCCAGTTGGGGTCCACCACAAGTCAGAAACAGCTTGGCAGCGCATGACGACAACCTGATGGATGAGTTATTAGGCTTGTTTGCACAAGCAGTGGCTTGCAGGAAGATAATCCACCCGGTGCCTTCTGGAAATGGGAACAGGAAGGAATTGTCCCCCACGGGTTTTGTAGGGTCAAGCGTCAAACCTAGGGTTTGCTTCCCCCAATCTCCTCTCCCACCTTGCAAGGCAGTCTGAACTCCCAGGTGTCTCATCACGGTGGGATGATGACTTTGGGCTCCTGCATCCGGATGGCAAGGCTAAATGGGCCATGGGTGTGTGTTGGGGGAATGGAAGGGAGGGGAGAGGGAGGGGAGAGGTACACCACCGTCACAGATCGGACAACAGGCTCCGTGGGGAGTGAAGCGCTCAGCCGCAGGACAACTCAACAGCGGGCATCCTTGGTGAACACAAACCCAGGTCAGATCCTGCATGGAAACAGAGGAGAGCCAGGCTGGGCTAGTGCAGGTGGGCATCAGAGCAGAGCGCTGGAATGGAGCCACAGGAAGCTTTAAGGGATGCTCCAGCCGCCAGGTAGCCCGAGAGGAGACCCGATGCCTCTTGCCAATGGGCACAGGGCAAGAACACAGTCTCTTGCCGGTCACCCAGGGCTCTGGAAGTGGGTGCCCCCCCCGGCGTCCAGGAAGAACAGCAAGCCAAGAGGGAAGGTGGGCTCTCTCTCCCTGCTTGAAAAGAACCGCCTGGCCCAAATGGGGTGTGCTGAAACCTCCGCGTTCTGCTGTCGCTTCAAACCAAGACTGCTTCCCAAAGGAGCTCCCTTCAGTACGAAAGGGAGGGAGGGCTTGGCATCGGGGTCACAAACTCAGGAGACGAGACACAGAAGGAAGATCAGGGAGACCAGGCAAAGAGGCAAAGAGGGAGACAGAAGACCGGGTGTCGCTCCCCTCCTCCGAGGGTCTCTGGATACGAACCACCCTGCCTTCTCCATCCTTCAGGCTGGACCACAGGGAGGGCAGGCGGGAGCCTCCTCTCTCTCCCCCATGCCCCCCCTCCCTGGGTGACCTCCTCCCCTAGGCAGCCTCACCTTGCACTGGCAGCTGTAGCAGGGCTCATCCGTGGCCTGGATCTCGTTGCCCACCAGGCTGGTGGTGCAGTTGCTGAGGGCTTCTGCAAGAAAGGGCAAGCAGCCGGGAGGGCTCACTGAGCAAGGGACCGGCCAAATCCCTGCAGCAAGAATCGTAGAAAAAAAAAGAGCAGGGGAGCTCAGTCCTGCTTCCTCCCCACCTGGAGGGGTTGGGCTCACCTGCACAGGTTGGGCAGCATCGCCCGGCCCCGGGGGACTGGATCTGTTCCCGGGGGCAGTCCAGCAGGCTGGGGCACTGCTTGCGGTAGCACTGAAGGTGGCGCTCCCCGTTGGACATCAGCTGGAAAGGAAACCGAGAAGGTGTGACACACACACCCAGCGCTCCTCGAGAGACTTCCAGGGGTGCCCGCTGGATTCCCCCCCCCCCAAAAAAGAGGAGGAACCAGATCGGCCTCTGAAGGCAAAACCAACCAAGGGCCTTGAGGTCTTTCCCAAAGCAGGCGCTTCCACTTTGACCGACTTGTTTGGGAAGAGCAGCGCTCCACCGAGGCTTCATGCCGAATTGGAAACGGTTCGCCTTTTAGTCTTCCAAGTGTCTCCAGGCCCCTGGGAGGGGGTGCTACATCCTCTTATCTGGACGTGAGGATGCCTTCTTCATCCATGGGGAAGGATGGGCGAGCTTGCCAGAACAGGAGATGCAACCGGACATCAGCTGGAAAGGAAACAGACACGGTGTGGCACACACACCCAGCGCTCCTCGAGAGACCTCCAGGGGTGCCCGCCGGATTCCCCCCCCCCAAAAAAAGAGGAGGAACCAGATCGGCCTCTGAGGGCAAAACCAACCAAGAGCCTTGAGGTCTTTCCCAAAGCAGGCGCTTCCACTTTGACCGACTTGTTTGGGAAGAGCAGCGCTCCACCGAGGCTTCATGCCAAATTGGAAACGGTTCGCCTTTTAGTCTTCCAAGTGTCTCCAGGCCCCTGGGAGGGGGTGCTACATCCTCTTATCTGGACGTGAGGATGCCTTCTTCATCCATGGGGAAGGATGGGCGAGCTTGCCAGAACAGGAGATGCAACAGAATCCCGGAACCACACCCCACACCCGCCCCCCAGCATGCAAACCTGAAAGCTTTCCACAGTGGCAGAATTTTAAACCGGTCCGCACGGGGTGACTAGAGCTCCCGGCCTGAAGTTAAGAGTCAATGGCTGACTGCCTCCGTGTTCGGTTGGGCAGCTGGAGCAGCAACCTCCCTGCTTGAGGGGGAGGCCTGTCGCCCCCACCCCACCCCGGAGGGAGCGGAAGGAAGAGGGGGCCTGTGGTGGGGCTGGCAGCCACCCCTTCGCCATCTCAGGTGGACGCCACTTTAGTGAAACCCTCCGCCACCAACACTGCAAAACCGCCTCCCCCCCCGGCCTTCTTGCAACCCACCCAGCTAGGCAGGAAGAGAAAGGAGAGGCAACCCCTCCACCCAGCAGCTGCACGGGAGCCGGGCAGGGGGTGGGGGTGGGATGCGTTGCGCCATCCCAGGAAAAAGTGTGGCCCGAGGCAGCCGTGGTCCCTGCTCTTTCCAGGGGCCCGCTTGGGAGAGCTGCCAAGAGCAGCCCCAGTTCTTTAGAATGGCAAAGAGCAGAGAGCGCTGCAAGTCTGCGCCCCACCCCGTGCCCTGCTGCCTGAGGATGCCGCCGGTTCAGGGCAAAGCCAGCCTGGGTCTGGTAAGTGGATGCCCTGCCTGGGGGCTTGGGTTCCCCTCTTTTTGCTCCGACGGCCCAGCGCAGCTGCCCTCTTGGCTTCTACCGTCCCCTAGTGGCCGAAGAAGTGACTGCAGCTCCGTTTGGAGGGCTGCGATCGTGTGTCTCTCCACGGGCCAGTTGGCATCAAAGCAGTTGTTTGGGACAGGCTTTCTCCTTCCTGGCTCACAGGAAACCGCAAGAGCAGGGCGTGCTGGCGGGAAAAGGATTTCCCAGGGTGGGAGGACTGGGCAAGATGACCTCAAGGTACCCCTGCCCTAACCGCTTTTTTGAGAACCACCTGAGAAGTGCTCACCTCGCAGGTGCAGATTTCGCAGGGGTCCTGCCCGGGTTGGAAACTCTCGCCTGGTCCATACACACGACCCTCGTACGAGCAGTCTGGAAGAAAGGGGACGAGCTGAGATTAGAGGTTCGGAACGGGGCAGGCTGGAGAGGATCATCCTGCCCCACCAGACAGAACATCTCCCCTTCTGAGAGAAGGTATGGAGAGGAGAGAAAGAATCCGAGGCCCTTCGAGACCAAGAAAGGTTCTCCGCAGCCACACAATGATCGGGAGGAAAGAGCACAGAGAGATAGCAGATGAGAAACATGATTTTTTGGAATACAATCTCCAGCATCCCCCGCCAAGAAAGTTTCTCCACAGCCACAATGATGGGGAGAAAAGAGCAGAGAGAGAGAGAGCACATAGGAAACACAGAGTGGTCATACTGACTAGATGGGCGGGGTACAAAACAAACAAACAAACAAACAAACATTTTTTTTGGAATACAATCTCCAGCATCCCCCTGCTATTATGGGCAAACTGCTTGGGGGATTCTTGAAGCCATATTCCACCCCCCCACTGCCCCGAATGACTGAAGGCCGTTCTGGATGGTTCCTAGCTCTCCCATCTAAAACAGCGGGTGGGACGGGAAAGCACCCGGTTGGGATACACGGAAGCAACTCTTGTTGGAATGGTAGGACAGCGAAATGGAAAAGGCTGGATTACGTGGGATTTATGCCAGTTTCGCTTCTGGTCAAACAGGTTTTGCTGGTTTTCAGAACCAAAACCTGCTCCACCTATTGATGGAAAGATTTTAAAAATGAGATCATCATCCTCTTAGAACCAGAAGGGACCCTCTGGATCGTCGAGTCTAGCCCCTGTTAAGGAAGCACCGAAGGGGGAAATCGAACTCCCAACCTCTGGCTCCCCAGCCAGAGACCTCAACCCCTGAACTGTTGTAAAGCTAATGGTGCTTAATGGTTCGCTCAAGCCCAAACTACCTCCAAATATTTTGCATTACAGGAGAACTAGCTGCAATCCATTTTCTCCCAGATAGAACGCAGAGAGATGCTAAATGAAGAGGGGCCACAGGAGGAAGCCAGAGGCGGGTGAGACTACTTGGAAAACCCGGTTCCACGACACCGCGGCTCCTACCCACAACCGCTTTACCTGCACACAGGGGGCAGCACTCCCCGGGAACTTCGATCTGGTTGATGCAGGAGCTGATGCAGACAATCTCGGCGCAGGTGGCTACGCCATCCGCACACATGCAGGCCATACAGGGGGTAGAGGAGGAGAGCCAGCGGCTGCCGTCGGGGCGCTCCCGGCCCTCGTAGGTGCAGCCTGTGGAAATGGGGGCCAGGGTTAGACCCAGCCGTCCTCTGCCCAGCCCTTGCTTCACGGCAGTACCAGCTCCAAGCGGCAGGGGCGCTAGCTCCCCTGCCGCTTGGGCAAAGTCTAAATTTTATTTATTTATTTATTTATTTATTTTATTTTTACACCGCCCCTCCTTACATAAAGCCCGAGATGATTCCATTTCGCTATAACATATGGCCAGATCGGATCAGGACTTAAAGGCTGGCTTCCCGGACCCTCTTGATTTTCATATTCTGGTGGCCCGATAAATTTGTTTGTTTTTAAGTGCTATGGGGTGGCATATACAAGCAGCAGGTTTTGCTTTGCAGTTTTAAAGGGTGGGTACCCAGTGGTGCTTCTGAACGCAGTCTTCCATCTGCTTGGACTCCAGTCTTCCTTGTGGCTGCCCATTTAAAAGCCCCGGGACTCCGGCACAGGGGAGGCAGAAGGGCCCTCCATCGGCCACAGTTTTAACAGGCACCCAAAACAAGAGGATCGCGGTGGCGCAATTAAGCAACAAACGGAAACTCGTGTCGTTGAACTATAATACATATTCCCCATAGTAACTCTGTTTCCTTACAGTAGCTTATCAATCAAACAACTGAAATATTGACCAAGTTTCAATAAATACAAAATTCGTTCAATGAAAACAAAGAAATTTGTAAGACTGAAAGCCTTTATCGAAGTCTTCCACATGAAATGCATTGTATATTTATTGAAACCTGATCAATATTTCAGCTAGCAGATTAGAATCATAGAATCATAGAAAAGCTGGAAGGGGCCTCCAAGGCCATCCAGTCCAACCCCCCTGCTCAAGGCAGGAATACAATCAAAGCAGATCTGCCAGGTGATTATCTAAGTTTCTCTTGAAGGCCTCCAGTGCTGGAGAGCTCACCACCTCCCTTTGAGGTCACTGCTTCTGTTGTCATACTGCTCTAACAGTTAGGAAGTTTTTCCTGACGTTCAACTGAAATCTGGCTTCCTTGTCCTGAACTCTCGATAAAGTGCTGCCAGGAAATTGAGTTACTCAATGGGGAATCTGTATTCAGTTCGACTGCACCGTTTTAACAGGGTGGATTAGCCCAAATCTCAGGTGACCGAAACGGTTCAAAGTCCAGAGGAGGGAAGAAGGGGCGCTCCCTCCTCAAAGCAGCCTCCTTGCCCCTCGAGGGCCGAGCATGGGGGGTGCTGGTACCTTTGCAGCGGGGGCAACAGACGCCGGGCTCCGTCACGGGGTGGGAGCACCCGGTCAGGGGGCACTGGATCATCTCACATCGGACGTTTCCATCCTGCAAAGCGAGGGGAGCTGTTTGGCCCGGTGGTTCCTGGCCGTTCCCTCCTGCCCCTTCCAAAATGCCATTCAAATGCCCACTGATGGATCTGTCCCAATTGCAAGCTTTTTTTTTTTTTTAAAAAAAGGCGGTGGGTGGAAGGAAAGGAAGAGGCAACCCACTGAGCCCACCCTCTCACCCTGGGGGAGCTTCGCTTGCAATCCGCCTGCCTGCCCGCCCACCTTCCCACCTGGAGGTCAGAAGCCACGCAGGCTGATGCCCTCTCACCTGGCAGGTGCACTCGAGACAAGACTCCGGCTTAAAGGCTTGCCCGTGGGCGTAGCGTTCCCCTTCGAAGAAGCAGTCG